CCACCAGCCGCACCATCTTGTTCCCCACCACCTCGGGCGGCGGCTCAGGGCTGATGGGCATCAGTGTGTCTGCCAGAAGGAAGTCACCGCGGTGCTGATGGACACCAAGCCACCAGGCACCTGGCACCTGCGCCAACCCCATCCCAGCTCTCCCCCATCTCCCCCCCGGCTCCCGGCTCCTACCCGGCTCCTCCTGGCACGAGGTATGAGTGGCCATGCAGCACCGGCAGCGCCTGGGCCATGGTCGCGGCGGTGGTGAAGGCGTCCAGGTTCTCCAGCAGCGCAGCCATGGCCCGGCCGTACGCCGGCTGCATCCGGCACGTGTTGGTGGCGATGAAGACCTGGGAGCGGGAGGGAGGAAGGTGGCGGGGCAGCGGCCCGAGGTGGGAGGCAGGTCGGGGCCCTGGGCCATGGGCACCGCGCTGCTGCTGAAGATGATCATCGCCTGCCTGCCCAGCCCCTGCCCCGGGGTGGCTGCCTCTGCCCAGGCACCCATGCCTGCACCCACATCTGCACCTGTGTCTGCACCCATACCCATGTCTGCACCCATGCCTGTACCTGTGCCTGCAGCCACACCGTCACCCGCACCCGCTTATGGCTGCACATGCGTCTGCTCACACCCACACCTGCACCCATGCTCATGCTTGCACCCAGCGTGCACCTGCACCCAGGCCTGCACTCACCGCCGTGCCTCCCCCCCAGCCGAGCGCCCCCCCGGTCCTGCACCCACACACCCACTCGCACCCGTGTCCCAAAACTCCCCCCCTGCCTGCAGCCACACCTGCACCTGCACCCCCACTCCCACCCGTGCCTGCACCCACGCCCCACCCTGCAGGCCCCCCCCCACATGACACCCACCTGCATGGCCCACGAGGTACTGTAGACATTGCTGAAGAAGCCGTCCCGGCCCTGCGCCTCGACCATCCTCCTCCTCGTCCTGCGCGTGGCCGCCCGCAGCTCCGCCGCCAGCCTGGCCCCCACCAGCCGCTCCCGCTCCAGGCAGGTGAAGGCCAGCGCCGCCACCGCCTCCGTGTCTGCAGGGACACGGGGTCCCCCCTTTTTTTTTTCGGGGGTCCCCCCGCCCCGCCTGTCCCTGGGGCCCCTTACCCGCGGCGCTGCCACCGATGTGCCCGAACCTGCCGTGCTGCTCGGCCACCAGGAGCCGGCGGATCACCTCCTCCCGCACCCGCTTGCGGTGGACGCACAGCGCCAGCACGCCCAGGCTGTACTGGTAGTAACCGTTGAGGGGGTGGCCGTGCTGCCGGGAGCCTGGGGACAAGGTGTCGTGTCACTGGGGCGAGCTGGTGGCCCTGCGGCTGGACGTGCCGGCGCAGTCGCCCCATGGGGATGCCATCACCTGCCCAGTCCTCCTCCAGGTAGTACTTCAGCCACGTCACCAGTGAACGCTGGGGACCGGGCTCCGGCGAGGGACAAGTGGCCCGCAGCCCCAGCAGGTATAGCGCCAGCCGCCCCGGCCCCGGGCCAC